CAACAGTTAGTATCTTCAAAAACAACATTCCAGGAGAAGATTTTCTGGATGCATTTATTCATAGGCTCTCCATTCGCCTTGCATCGAACAATAAAAGGTCTAGATCCTCCGTGGACTTTGGAGATATTTTAAATTTTTTCACCAATATAAATGAGGCTCTAGTGATGGGGACAATTTTTATATATACAACTACGACAAAACGAAACACAAAAAGGGTAGAAAGAGTACAAAGCCACTCTCGTACCTCCATTAGCATTATAGTGTTTGAAAACGCGAAGGGGATCTCCTGCCTCCTATGGTTGTCTATAAATCTGGACACCTTTATGAAAACTGGACAGAAGGAGGCCCTCCAGGAACGAAATATTCAAGAAGTCCTTCTGGTTGGTTTGACATGAATTTGTTCGAGATGTGGTTTTTTAAAATCCTCCTCCCACACATAATGGAAACCCGAAAACCCGGTGCCACAACTATTGTGGTGGGTGATAACCCCGCTAGCCACTTTTCGCCTTTAGTTATTTAGTCCTGTAAAGAGCATGCTATTTATATTATTCCATTCCCTGCAAACGCCACGCATCTAATGCAGCCACTAGATGTGGCTGTATTTGGACCGATGAAGAAGTGCTGGAGAATGATTTTAGACCAATGAAGGAAAGAAAGCCGATATCCAGGAAATCTTCCAAAGAACAGTTTCCCAATTTGCTCTCTAGGTTATGGAACGGCATGTCTGACACTCTCAACCAAAATTTGATATCTGGATTTCGAGTCACTGAGCTTTATCCACCTGATCCAAACGAGGTCTTGAAGATAATTCCTGATGGAATCATACCAGACGATGGAGACGCAATTGGAAGATTAAATTATTCTGTGACATTTGAATTTTAGTTACTTGTTTTTATATATTTTTATTATCTCAAAAGATTTAAATTTAATTTAAAAATTAGATCTTGCATAAAATAGCCTTATATACGAGTGTTATGTCTAAATGTTCGGCATTTTCTGAAAAAATTTCTTGTATTTTCTTATTATATTTAACTAAACGTTCAAAGTAGGCTGTAGTTGTGATTCACTGTTGTTTTTTTAAACAATAATTTGCCAATGATAGTGAAATTTCTGTTTTAATATTAACATTGTTTTAAAAGATGTTTCAATGATAGAAAGAATAAATTCAACCATATTGAATGTAACCATAAATATTTTAATTAAAATTGGAAAATGTCAAAAAAATATTACTAGAACATGCTGGACATTTGATGAAAGGTATTTGTAATTTGTGCTTAGATAAGCTAATATCCATGGTGGTGCAGAAAAAGATCTTTTTTCTACACCGAAAAAGTATGGTACTGTGTTTTACTGTACGAATATATTTCATATCTATTCTAGGTAGTGAGAACACTGCAAAGAAATGAAATCCACCAATAAAAGTTCATATTTTGGACACACAAATACTATTATTTTTAAAAATTTAAATAAGTGACAATTCTGTCAAACTAATTTTCAGTATATTTTTTGAGATACTTTTGTGTAGAATGGATAAATAATATATAATTATTTAGACCACATTTTCAAAAAAAAAAAATTTAATAAAACTATAGAAAACTAACGATTATTAAAACTAAATTGCTTAAACTGGCGGTGGAGGTGAGGACAAAGCGTCGACCTTCCACGCGAAATGCCCAGGTTCGAATTTGGGCTGGGGACTAATTAAATTAAATCTTCTTTTTTTTTTCATGTTTATTTTATTTATTTTTTAAATTAGTAAAATTCATAAATTATTTTAAATTCAGTTATTTTGACATAATAACCTGAAATAATTTTTGAATTTTGTAGATTTCCCTTAGTGGGTCATAGAAAAAATATAGTGTACAATTCAAATGGATTGTCCATATCTAACTCTGACTATTTTGTTGCTAAAGTTTTTTGAGATGTACTGTTTTAAAAAAGAATGATTTACGGCAGTGTCAGTTGACAATAGTGCATTGAAATTTGTGATCTATCTCCTTATTTATCGACATGCATTTAATATATTGGCTTGCATCTTGAAATGTCTAGAGGCCAGACAGCTTTATGAAGAACGATTTCCAAATAGAGATTTAATGTAAGGTATCGGAAATAATTTTAGGAAAGGTAAAGCCACTCACAATTTTAGGAATTCAAATGGATCGCGGTGAGGGTGCCAAAGAAGATTATCCTTCTACAAGTGTCCGAAAATTGGCTGTGTAGTCTGATTGTCCAAAATCGACGATTTCTAGAACCCTTAGAGAGTAACAATTGTATCCATTTTATCTTCAGAAAGTCCATGCGCTTCTTCCCGAAGACTTTCGGTGTCTACCTTGGTTTTAGATCGGCATAGAAATGATGCAAATTTTTTGAGTTCAGTTCTGTTCACGGACGAAGCTGGATTTTCTAAATATGGCATCATATACTTCCATAATTTACATTAATTTGTGGGTAGACAAAAATCCTTATCCTTTTATTGTAGTGCCTCATCAGCATTAATTTGAACCCGTCAACGTGTGGGGTGGAATCATCGGGCCACATTTAATTGTACAAATATCTTCAAAACCATATTCAAGAACTTTTAGAAGATTTAACTTTTATCAATACGACGTGATATGTAATTCATGCGTGATGGAGCCTCACCATATTTCATTTGAGTAGTTCGAGAATACTTAAATAGGAACTTCGGAAATTGATGGATAGGAAGAGAAGGACCAGTGCCTTGGCCTCCTTAGATTTTTTTTGTAGGGGATTTTTAAAAAATTTGGTCCTTCATTTTACCTGACAATAGAGAAAATAATAAACTTGGGAATAATGTTGGGCTATTGTGGAAGGTTCAACAATCTTTAATTCTTAGAGCTAGGAAATACATATGATTAGAGGGTGCTCATATTAAATTGACATAAAAAATATTCAATAAAAATCGAAAAAAAATATAGCAACAAAAAAATTTTATCAGTGTAAATCAAAGCAAAAAACTATTTTAAACGAAAACAAGTGATTTTTTCGTTATTGATAGCATGTGTAACGTTATAAATAATTTTTTAGTTTTATTTCATATTAAATATTAACGACATTTAATAATTATACCCTCCTGGGAAAAATATTTAGGCATGTCACTGGTACAGTCGTGGAGCCGTTGTTATTTCAAATCCATTTGTAAAATCAATAATTTTGGTCCTGCGCGCGGTCTTACAATAGAATTTAACACCTAAGTAAGCTTTTCGGGATATTTCTTTCTATTTTGCTGTGTGAAGGTTGACCGATCCACTTGTTTTGTTTTGTGTATGTGTGTTGTTCAATGACTAAAGGTAATTATTTAATATTTTTAGTTAGTTAGAATTGCTTGATAAGTGATTACAGGTTCAACATTTCGTTTGTAGAATATTACGTGAGTTCCACAAATTGTTTTGGATTGACATTAAAATGCTCTTTCGGTTTTTTTTACCGGCATATAAAAGCATGCCATGAAAAGCGGCCATATTTAGTTTTTTTTTATATATATCTAGATGCTTGTTTTTTCCATCTTTTAACAAGGTAACTAAATACTGTTGCAAATTTAATTAATTGCTGTAATTTTAGGAGTTGTTTTATATTAAATGTACTTATTGTGGTACTTTCTTTTTGTGTAATACATGTTAAGAGATGGAAAAGTTTTTTTATATATAAGTGACTGACACCGTGTTTTTTTTACCAGAAAGAGAAAACCTCAAAGGATAAAGAGGAACTGTAAAGCCGTAATAAAGAGGAACAGTAAATCCTTATTTAAGAGGAACAATAAAGCCGTACTAAAAAGGAAAAGTAAAGCCGTACTAAAGAGGTAAAGCCGTTTCAAAAAGACTCTGTATGGTGAAGGTGTCCAAGCTAGAGGAGAATAGCCGTATTTTATCATCAAGGGCCCAGTTACAGCTGAAACTCCTCGACCGTGAAACCGAGCCAGTTAAGTATCTGACATTATTCCGAACACTTTTACATAAATCTATCGAGTCACATTTTTTTATTAGTTAAATTATTAGCCTGTTCTGCCAATTTCATTTGATCGAACCAGTTGTTTTTTTTATATTTCATAATTTGTAAATTGGCAAGTTCTTTACTATTCACATTAAAGTCACTACATTTTAATTTAACTCTTTTAATTTACTCCTTACTTTCAACTAAAAAATTAATGGCATAATTTGTATTTATTGATTATCTAAATACATGGCGTCCTTAACCATTATTAAAACACTTTCTTGTCTTTTTAATTAAAGATGATGCCATTGGTTTGTTAGTAAAGTCCAAATTAACCGACCCTGCTGAGCTAGGCCGAGGGTAATTAAGTTAAGTACCACGTAGCAAATTGGCACCAACAAGATTTTTCGTTGCACCTTTTTTTAGTTAAAGGTTTAAGCTGTCCAACAATATTATTTTTGTGTCTTTAACATACATGGAGTAAAAATAATAGCATTGTTGTATTAAAGCTTTGCTGTCCCTGGCATACTAAATAATCCAAATGTGTTTAAAATGGCCCATTTTAGGAAAACTTATCTAGTATCCATCGTATTTAAAAAGTATTAAATTATACCAATGACTTATTTTGTTATTTTTAGGGGTGTCCATTATGGGACCACATCTTCTAAAAGGAGAACAAAACTTGTTACGTTATTTTTATGTGTTTTGTCTGAATCCGGGAGATTTCCCACATATTCTGGGACATCCTGTATAAAGTACTCCTCCAGATGTTCCGACCGTACCCAAAATCAGCTCACTGCATGTTGAGTTCTAGTTCGAATGGTCCACGGTTTAAATAATGGTTAAAGCAATTTTTGTTTATTTATTTATTTATTTATTTTAAAATCAACTAGATGACATCCATCTACCATTAATGCATGCGCATGTCTGAATAAAAGACCTTGTATTTATCAAAAAACAATAATTTTATTAGACGGAGCGTTTCATAACGCGTCTGAAGTTCCATCGTAAATCGCAACGTACATAAAGATCAAGTAATTTTAGCGTGAGTTATGAAACTTAAATATGAGTTAATCCTGCGAGCACCTCATCCTGTTCTAAGTTTTCCTAAAAGACATCACTCAAATAAGTTTCTCCGAATTCTGTAAGTGTAATGCAAAGAAGCTGAGAAATTGAAAAATAAAGACATCACTTTAAGTTTTAATTAATTTTAAGACATGTCTATTGCAATTCTAGACTAAGATGATGTTGTATATATAATATAAATAAGATATTACGTTTATAAATACAGGATATTATGTAAATTTGTCTAGAAGTTATTTTTTTTTAAATAAGGTAAATTAAGGTATTTTCAAAAATATTTAGCATTGTGGTTGATACACTAAGCACCCTAAAATCACACAGGTATAAGACAAGATTTAGATTTTGCTTAAAAACTGTATATCTTTAGAGCTTATTTACGGTTTCACATGAAAATGAATGTCCACACTGCACTCTAGTGAAATGCTCCCGTGCAAAGGAAAAACCTAGCAACTCAATTTTTAACCAAATTTAGTTTTCTATTGCATGTTAATCTGCTAGCTATTTCCACTGGATAGGTATCAAAAAACTTGTGATATGTTCAGAAATAGGCACGAAATCACTTCTAGAATTTCCTAGTAAGAGTAAAATATGACAAGTTTACAACGGTAAAATATAGCAACACAATATTCCAAAGGAAAAAACCAGCATATTTATTTTGCTAGTGTAATTTGTACGAGTTTATTGTTTTTTTGCTAGGAAAAAAGATAACAAAACTATTTACTGACGTTGGTTTACGGTAATATATATTTTCTATATTTCAGCGGAAAAACATATCTAGTTATCCTACTGTTTTATTATCAAAACACATTTAAAATGGAAAACTTACGCCCAATAATACTGTTTTCCAGTGTAAATGAGTCTGTAAGGTTTTCGCGGGAAAATTGACAACTTACGTGCTAGGTTATTCCTCGGGAATAAATATGCAAATCATCAAACAGTCAATCAGTTAAGTTTGAACTTTTTGACCGTGAAGTAGTTAATTTTTTTTTGGAAACTTAAAGAATAAAAAGTGTGAAAATGTCAAAAAGGGGAAGGTATTTAGTTGAGTTGGCTATGTAATCTAAAATAAAGACTTTTAGTGATAACCAAAGTGCTTATGGGAAAACCAATAATAGTTTAGTTACAAACTCATATATGTTTAATCTTAGTTTTATAAATATAATAATACCTATAAGTGTTTATGTGGCCATGCATTTCTTGCAGTAACGTTAATTATCTACAGAGTGGCCCAAAAGTCTGGAAACGGCCAATTATCTCGTAAATTGCTAGTCCTAATTGTACAAAATTTGGGGTGCACTTATTTTGGGATACGGAGATTCCAGATTTGATATTTGCAATGTTGCCAGATTTGCCATTTTTCTTATATTATTAGTCACTTTTGTTTTTCAAATTAATCACCCTGTATATTCAATTATTATTGGAATCTCCTATTCAATACAAGTTCAACCATATGTAACACTTATGATTTTATGTAGTCAGGAAGGTCTTAAATAAATAAAAGAGAAGTCTGGCAAAACCTAATTAGCTCAATAAATTTTTTAATACAAACTAACAATTGAAAGATTACAACATTTTTAACATAATGGTTACTTTATCAAGTGTTTAAAATGTGCTCCGTTTTTGAGTTGACAGTACCCTAATCAATGGTGGAATGCGTATACCACATTTCTCCATGATTGTTTTATTTATTTGAGACCATCCAGACTTCATAAAATCATAAGTGTTACATATGGTTAAACTCGTATTGAATAGGAGATTGACTGAATATACAGGGTGATTAATTTGAAAAACCAAAGTGACTAATAATATAAGACAAATGACAAATCTGGTAACATTGAAAGTATCAAATCTAAAATCTCCGTATTCGAAAATAGGTGTACTCCAAATTTTGTACAATTAGGACTATTACTTTACGAGATAATTGACCGTTTCCAGACTTTTAGGCCACTCCGTATATACAGTTTGAGTAAAATTTAATTTCTTCTTTAATCTGCATTCTATAAAAAAAATAGTACAGTGTTTCTATCTGAGTGCCTAGTAGTTAGTTTCCTTAGTCACACAAATGATAACTGAAAAGTAATACTGCTAGTAAAATACACTATTTATTTTCGATTGTCTGCTAGTAAGCTGTTTTTAGAGCATTGGAATTTTATTTACCTTTAAAAACATTTTAGTATCGAAAAATATGGTGATGCGACAGATCAAAATATGATCCCTGTAGAAATGGGACAGTCCAATGAAATTATTGATGAAAATGCGACCAATGAAACAGATAGTGAAAAACTACTTTCACCAAAAGTTTTCGCAGAGCTACAACCACTTCGTGAAGGTAATGCGACAGATCAAAAAATGATTCCTGTAGAAATGCGACAGTCCAATGCAATTATTGATGAAATTGCGACCAATGTAACAAATAGTAAAAAACCAGTTTCACCAAAAGTTTTCACAGAGATACAACTACTTTGTGAAGGTAATGCGATAGATCGAAAAATGATCCCTGTAAAAATGCGACAGTCCAATGAAATTATTGATGAAAATGCGACCAATGAAACAGATTGTGAAAAACCGGTTTTACCAAAAGTTTTCACAGAGTTACAACCACTTCGTGAAGGTAATTCTAAATTATTTAAAAATATGAAAAAACCTATAAATAAAATGTTGCATACTTTATAGAGTACATGGAAGATAGCCCTGTTGATGATTCCGATGTGGATCAAGACTATGAACCATCAGATGAAGAGCAAAAGAATACCAAAAAGTTGACATTTCTAGCCCAAAAACGAAAAATTTCAAGTAAGAATATTTATCTATATCTATATATCATCATTAGGGGTTTCTTAACACAATAAAAATTTAACAAAGCTTCCTGAAACTGGGGGGTAGTATGTATCTTTTAATAAACTTACTTAAAAACTATACGCCTATTATATTATGAGTATTTTAAAGGCACTACCAAATTTAAATACTTGTCTCTATAGTCTAAACCAACAAAATAAAATATGCGATGCATGGTATTCATTTGTTTACCGATGAGTACGGTTGTGTCAAATAACCGAGCTCCGAAATAATTGTGTATAGTTTAGTAATTTGTAACAGTGCTTAATTTTAAATCAAGTGACATAATTAATTTTTCCTACGACCACTTAGGAAAGTGACACATATCACACTATATAGTCCTATAGAAAGTGCCCTATATCACACGCGTACGAATGAGAATTTAGTTTTCACCCGAGTGAGAATATGTTACTTTCCGCAGTAGTTGTCACAAAATGTCAAACACCTAATTTCTATTTTGGTCTATGTAATGTCCATATTAATACTAAAATCGATATGATTGTTAAATTATTGAAATTGTTGTAAATTAGATCCTAGATATTTATCTTCAACAATTATTATTAAAATAATTTTAAAATAATGTTTGCTCTTTATTCTGGTTAAATACATAACCGATTAGATCATTTAGATCATTCAATTGACACAAGGTCTATTAGCTCAGGTGGTTAGGACGTCAAACTCATCAACTTTGCCATTTTTAGACCGCGTTCAAATCCTGGCGGGGCAGATTTTTTTTTGTTTTTTTTATTTTTTTTTTAGTTTTTTTTTTGTTTAGAAAATATTAAAATTGAATAAATACGATTATTGTTGATTATTATTTTAAATACTTTTTAACCTTGGTTTTACATTTTTTTGATGACATTATTTTGTGGTCGTAGGAAAAATATTGTACATCACTTGTGTGAAAAGTGATTTTCCACACTCGTGTGATAGTCACACTCGGCTTGCGCCTCGTGCGACAATATTTCCCACTCGTGTGAAAAATGTCACTTTCCACACTATAAAAATAGTACCTCTGGAAAAGATGGAAAATCAGGCCACGACGTTGTTTAATACACCAAATAAGACGAATTTAGTAGGGAAAAATAACGCTAGTTCAAAAACACAAAAGGAACAGGCGTTATTTACCGCATGGAAAAAATCAGAATATAAGAAAGAATGTGGCTAATCAGCTAAATGCAATGCAACTTCAACTAGAAGAAATTCAAAAAGCATTTAACGATTTACATAACAAATATACAGTAAGTAAAAAAAGTGTGGCACAAGATTCATCAACAAAACAGAATGAACATACGCCAGATAGATACTTCATTGACAAAGAAGAATTGGCGACAGAGGTTCAAATGTTCAAGTAAATGAACAACAGAAACTAAAAAGGTATACCAGCCTTAAATGGGGTTGAAAACTATAATATTATCCATCAAACTATATCTAACAAAATGACCAATTTTCAAATAAAGATCATTAATGACAAAAATATCAAGGTAAATGTTCCGGACGGAGAATGTTAACAAGCCATTTCGAAGGCATTAAATGATAAAAGTTATTCGTAGTACTCCTTCGAAAATAAACAAAATTGATCTATTAAAGTAATGGCTAACAAATTGTACCACTCTTTTGGTCCACAAATAACTATTGAACTAAAAAAAGAAGATATTAAATAATTGAAGCAACGAAAAAGGTAAAATATAAAACCAAACTGCCGCTTAATATGTAGATGCCATCGCTCAGTAATAATGAGGATGTAAATAACATATTTAGAAAATAAGATGGGTATACAAATTAACATTTAGCCTATTAAAAAATCTAAACTATTTTCCCACTTTAAATCTTGTCAGACATATGGACATACACAAAAATATTGTTCGAAGGAACCAAGGTGCGTTAGATGTACAGGGAAACATTTAACAATGGAGTGTGACAAACCCAAAAATGCTCTTCCAAAGTTTGTCTACTGTGGAAATTAAAAAAAAAAAATGGAATTTAAAGGAATAAAAAACAAGTAAACAAAAAAACCTCACTTGGAACCCCATCGGGATAACAGGCAATATATTAATATTAAAAATCTGATGAGTCCAACACATGACTTTCCTATCTAGTTATTACATGTTTTTTCCGGTTATTTTGTACAATCTGTTGTAGTACCGCTGTGACATAGGCATACACAGCGTCCCAATTGTCCTTTGACGGCAGCGTCTTCTCCAGTATACATTATGGCTCCAAGTCACCGATCTGCTTCGCATCATTTGCCAACGCAGGTACACGAAAAAGATATGGTAGTCATCATCATTTTCGATGTGACAGTAGAGACACTCCGCTTGTGTTGTCTTTCCCACCCTCTTCAGATATTCACGAAACTATACATAGCCCGTGAGGAATTGGGTGAGATAATAACTAGTCTCCTCATGCTTCCTATCGAACCAATTCTGCACCCTGTAGATAAGCCAAGTAGTCCATCGTCCACGGCTCTCCGCTATCGATCTGTTCTGTCATTTCTGTATGGTAAGTCGAAGTTTCTAGCTTTTCACCGTTTCTGGTACATTCTCCTCCTTACGTTGGTAAATTCGCCTTCGTTCTTCCGCCAGGAGGTCTATCGGAATCACTCCGGCTATGACTTGCACAGCACCAGCGGAGACCGTCCTATATGCACTGCCTATGCGCAACGCTCCTCTCCTCTGCACAGACTCCATCCTTTGCCTATACATCTGGAATTTCAGTGCCTCTGACCACACTTCGGCGCCGTACAGCATGATGTAGTCTGCCGTTCGCATTAGCAGCCTGCGTTTTGAGGGAGAAGGACCGCCTATGTTAGCCATAAGCCGTGTCAATCTTCCTACAACGACTGCCGCTTTTTCCTCAGCCTTTCCTATGTGGTTAAAAAAACTAAGCTTTCTATGAAGCATCATTCCCAGGTACCTGATCGCATCTGATGTTTCGATGGTTTGATCGCTCATGAGCATTGGAATGTGTTGGTCAATTCGCCTTTGTGTTAGAAGAATGATCTTCGTCTTTTGTATTGCGAGAGAAAGACATTTAGCCTGCATCCACTCTATTTCTCGCCGCATCATCTGGTTGTGCTTAAACTGTAGATGTTGTATAGTCCTTGCCTTTATAACCGCCACAATGTCGTCCGCATACCTCACCAGAAAAATACCATCTGGTATTTTAAGAACTGACCCTTGGGCCGCTCCTGATGTGACTATCTTCCTTTTCCGTCCATCTTGAGTGTCGTATTCTAAAAAATAATCAGATAATCCTGTAGGACCCGGTAGAGGTACGCTGGTACGTTGAAGCCTCTCAGTGCTTCTAATATGTCCGAAATCTTGCCGAATTGAAAGCGTTCCGAACATCCAGGGTAACAGCCATACAGATGTTCCTGCTCCAATGGTTACCTGTCTGTGTGGCTTAGGCAGTCCCGATTACTTCAATGATAGCGTCGACCGAAGATCTCCCAGTAGTAAAACCATACTGCCGTAGAGATAGGCCACCGGCCTTTGAAACAGAACTCAGTGTTCGTTGCCTCAGCATCTTTTCATACAGTTTACCTGCAATGTCAAGCATACACAAGGGTCTGTGAGGAGTGTTTGGATCTCCTTTACCATGTCTAACAGTATTTCCGATGTGAGTGTTAACCACAATCTTCAGTATCTCCGAAGGAATCATATTTGGTCAAGGGTATTTCTTATTGCGCATAGTTTTAGCCGCTCTCACAAGCTCGTCCATGGTAAAAAGAGGTATCTCGCCAGTTGTTTCGACATGCGGCCGGTCCTCTAGCTCATAAGTGGGGAACATTTCTTCGACAATCCTATCTTTAACATCAGTTGGCATCTCTGAAGTTGGGTCCATTCCTCTCAGTTTCTTGAGCAGAATCTTGTACCCAAGTACCCAAGGATCATTTTCCACGTCTTCGATTTTCACGTGTTAGGTATATTTATACACACCCACAAAAACGAGTTACTATTTATAGGTGATCCAGAAACAAATTCTTCTAAAGTAGGCTTCGAAAACATTTCCGTGTGTTGAGCATATAATTGTTTCTTTTATTAATTCAGAGCCACGCGCAGTTATCACAAAGAGGACTCGTATCTCTGTCTTGGTCGATTATGGCCTACTTTAGAAATAATTTTTTGAATCGCCCTTTAGATTGAAAGTACTTATCTTTTAAGTTAATCACTATTCCATTTTAATCTTTTATTAAAAACTGTATACTTATATTTTCAAATCACAGAAACATAATCAAACCCGTATCAACTTAATGTAAAATTGGAGTTTGTGTTCATCTTTATCAAACAACCATTTTAACTGCACATTTAACTGTCAAAAGGTCACATAATTTTGAATGCCTAATTGAATAAGTTAAACCGTTACTTCTCAGATAATTAAATAATGTTCCTACTTTGTCGAAATAGTATCGCATTCTGCCACAAATTGCAGCTTGCTTTTCTTACTTTGATTTTACCCGTACTTTCATGACCGTGACCAAATATTTTACCTCTGTTTTTGAGTGTATGGATGGCATAACATGAAGACTAGATAGAGGATGGAATCAGACAAGCAAGTTGATTTACCACAGACCTTTACACAGAATATACATTAATACAGAAGCGAAGGCCTGTGTCGGTACCTTTGATGTTGGGGTAGTCAAACGGGACAGGTATATATAATGGGGTTACGCGACATAGACCCAGTAAATTGATGAAGGGGTCAATCAAGTGTGCGGTACAAGTGGAATGTTTGATTCCTCTAAGTTTAACGTTCAATGCTTGCTTAGTTTCTTGTTGTTGAATTTCCTATATAGAATTACAATGAAAACTATTTACCTCAAATCATTTTTAAAATGAAGTTTTTATTAGAAAATAAAAATAAGTAAAAAACAATACAAAGGGGGCGTCTCACGAAAAAAATAAAAGAAAAAAAAAGAAAGTGGTACAAGGGGAAACAAAGAGAGAGGCTGCAAA